CATGCAATTCCCATAGTAAATCTTAACTTTAATAAAAAAAGCTTTTCCTACTGTTTTTTTTTCTTTTCCGCATCCCCATTTTGCACAGAGCCTGTTAAACTCCAACTTTATCCTACTGTAAGAGGCAAGCATGTTTTAAGGAAAAACTACTATAAAGAAAGCTCACATTCACCGTTTTACGCTTAATTGCATTGTTAGATCATGAAAATAAACGCTGTTAATATGTACACTGGATATAGATCAACATATTCTTGTCAATAGATAAGATTTTCGGGACATAGATTTTATGTTTGCTATTTTAGCCACCTTTCTTTGAGTTTTTTTTGGAAGTTTTCACTCTCCTTCTTTTCTGCATTTTCCTATCACTTTATAAACATCATTAATGCCCGGAAACTCTCATGTTGAATGCAATTATTTGTTAAAACTCATGTGCTTTCTTACCTGCAAGTTTTTAGTGCCTAAAAGTTAATCAATCAAACAATCCAATGGTCGTCATTTGCGATAGTTTACTTTTCCAAATTGCTTCATTTTTATAAGCTCATTTCTAGTTTTTCCACAAGGTACTATAGCCGTCTACATTGTAAATGACAATGACTTACCCCTTCACTAGTAAAAGGCAGATGAAGAAAATAACAACAGCTTTCATTCACCATCGTAAATATCTCATTTCATTGGATTTCGCATAAGGTCATCTCTATAGACAAAGTATTTAAATCACAATAACGGCTTCTTTCGCAGAACAAATAATGATTATACAATTTAGGACTCCGTGTTTTGTTCAATTTCAGATTGGCAGGGACCCCTTTGTATCCAAAAATCGTAAACAGTTCAGGAACTTCAGAATGATTTCATTTAGTATCCTATCACAATAACAGCAATCAACTTCTAAATTCTTTATATCTATTGCCTTAGTGCACTGATGCGCACTTTTTTTAAATCACAAATATAGAGATCTTCCTTTGTGGAAATTTGCCGCTCTATTACGGTCAGTCCAATGCTCTTAGTTCACCAAAAGAGATATTTTTCCGAAATAAGTTGATCACAATGTCTAACAAATTGCGCACTTCCATAGCGCGAGCTTTTTGACCACACCTAAATGGCAATTCTCGTTTTAAATTCACCTTGAAACGAGAAAATTTTAGATACCCTGGATTTAAAATTCCAGCTTGAAACCTAATAAATTGATCGAATAATTGTAGAACCATTTTCTTTGTATGCCGGAAATCTTGGTTGTTATGACGATGAAGATAAAGCCACGCCATGCAATGTTCAACTAGCAGTAATACCTTAAAATTCCTTTTCTATTGAAAAAATCCAGTAAAAAGAAATTCTTACCGTTTTCCTCATATCGATCACTTCGCTTTGTTCCGTTTCCATTGTGAATTTCTCTATAACGGCATTTTTATAGTCATTTCTTCTTGATTTGTCAAATCTGTGCCTGCGTGCCTCTGCGCAACTCTGCAAGTTTTTGAGGTAGTTTTTCCGCTAGAGTATGAGTCTTTCTTACCCTAACCCACCTCAGCATAAGATTTCTTAACCAGCTTTTTTTGCTCTAAGTACTCTGGCTGAACAGGATTTCCCTACATACAGAATAAAATTGGGGCAACATAGATTCAAGCAAAAGAATATTAATAGAAACTCACGTATTTTTCAAAATTTGCATGGTATTCCTTACGAAATCTTGGGGTATAAGGCCAAGCTCCAAAATCTGCAGGACGTATCAAACCGGTCTGGTCATAAACACCCCTGCATCTCCACTTTCCACTTCTATCCATCTGATCGCAATAGGTGAAATGAGGGCCATATTCAGGGATCTGAAATCCGGGTTTTCTTTGATTATAATTCCATATGAAGCCGACTTACATAAAGAAAATTTTCACAGTAGCACGTCACCCGCAGCACTCGTTCTCCTGGCTTTAGCACGAATTTTTCGAAGAAATCTGAAAATTACACTATTTCGCGCTATTCAAGCCCCACGGGAAGAATGCTTTACATTGTTCATCCCATTTTTCGCTCCATTTGTGAAACTGTTCGCAGTTCATTGGCCAGTGTGGCTCCCATTTGCATTGAAAGCAGAAATAGCAGTTACAGAAAGGGCAGATACAACTTTTGAATACTGAAGAGCTCATTTAAAGGTTCTATAAGGACCGTAAGCAAGAAAAGAAAATTACCACTTGAAGTGTCTACTAGGAGAGAAGTGGAACATTGTGGGCATTCTGTCATGCATGTATTTGGGTTTTCCAGCTTACAGAAGTATTCATAGGACTTCTAAATGGAGGAATTTGGTACTAAACAAACAAGAAATTCTTTCTGGGGTAATTTCTTTCGCTTTTCCAGAGGAAGAAAATGACTTGATGGCAACTAAATTGAAATCAAATGAAGTAATTTTTTTCAGAAATTGAGTACAGGAATTGGTGACTTACGACCTAGCGAGCAGTGCCAAGTCTTAAAATCAAAAAAATTACCTTTAACAGCAATAGCATCACGGGCAGAGGTAGAATTGCGTACAGAAGATCAAGCGCAGAATTTTCTGGTGTGGTCGTTAACTTTAAAGAAAAGTGAAACATATTAAAGATCTTGAACTCAATCAGATCACAGAAAAGGCTGACTCACAGAAATTTCCAAAGGAAAACGATTAAGGCGAATTTGCCGAATGATATGAGAGGCCTCACATTCCCTGCATATAACACCATTGGCGCAATCAAAAAGATCTGTCTTGTAAGGCGATTCGCACTTCCAGCACACTTTTTTCGTCTCCTATTAAGGGAGAACCGGCTTTTTTCGTAAATTCTGGATAAATTTTGTTATTTTTACTTTTGATTTAGGCTCAGCGTCGGACGTATCACTCTTGTAGAATCGTCGCAACAGATCTAGCTGATCAGACTCGTCAGATCGGGTAGCCTAAGACAGTTGGATGGAATGAAGGTGGGTAAAGGTGTGACAAATACTACTTACTGGTGTCGTAAGCATTGCACTATTTACATTTTGCATAAAATTGGTTTTGTAGGCTGTGAACCTAGGAGGTTTCTGTACAGGGATACTGTAAAATGTCTCATATCATATATTAGCATGTGAAAAAAAAGGATTAAAGAAAAACTAACGCCCGGTCTAGACGAAATATAAATTCTATCAAATCGTCAAACAATGAGGGGAAGTTCCTTCGTGTTTCGAGCATTTTTACAAAAGCGTTTTTGCTGAACTGAGCTGGGAATCGAGCATTTGTATTAATACTTACTCTAAATAAAGCTATTTAAAATATCAGTGGGGGACGTTTACTTTACTTGCTTCTTACCTGAGAAGTCCCATATCTCTCATAACCTCAAAAAAGAGGACAAATCTTGGATTTATCGATCTTTTACTAGCAACTGACACCAGCTGTGGTCCAAACCAATGTACAGTGCAGTAGTGAGGAGCTAACAGAGGGATCTGAACACTTTCCTCAGTAACTTTCAGAAGAAATATAAGTAATTGATGAACTTTACTTCTTCCTGTAGATCGAAAGCATCCAAATTGTGTAGTTTAACATCAATGATTTCAAATATACAGGGGGCATTGGTAGCAGAGGAAATGTCCGTTACATCAGAAGGTTTTAGGGCGACAATCTATGAAAACTTACATAATTTCAAATAAAATGAGTTATTTCTAGCAATACCTCAAAGGAAGGAGTCACTTCGGACTTGCTGTTAGAACTTTTCGTTGTACAAGAGGAGGTCGATGGCTGATTGAGTGTCAGAAAATCTCCGAGAGTTAGCTGGCTGAAAGGTAAGCCTTATCTCAGTCAAGTTATAGGTTTAAGAAAATAATTGCTCACTGCGAATTTTCTTCAGCCACGCTAGTGTCTTGCTCTTCTTTTTTCTTCCCGTGCCACTCATAAGGGAGCAATTCAGGTACACAATTGATTTTCTTCAACCTTCTCTTGGCAGCTGATTTAATTACTCCTTTAATCCCTATAACCCAGAGATGTCGAAAAGGTGATAAGTTTTCGAACTAAGTGTTACCTACCTATCCTATACTCTCTTAAGTTAAATTCTTTAACAGTAGGTGGGCATATGATATTCATATGAATTCTAGCAGGTTCCATTTCATCTTTGCCTATCCTTCTTTTCTCTCTGAGTTGATTCGTGTAGTATCGGAGCTAAACGAATTTATGCGAAGAATTATGCAAATTTTTTGAATTGAAGCTCCTACCGATTGTTTCCTTCCAGCAGCAGAAATTGTGGTAATTGCACAGTCG